TGCAATTCAAGGTTAAAATTGTTCTTGAAACAGCACCAGTGAAAATATAATTATAAGTCCCCAAGCAGGGATAAAGGAAAGAAGTATTTTATATATTCACTTCAGAAGTTGAAAAGTCAACTTAATATGGTAGAAATGAAATTTTTCATTTATTTTTTACTAAATGATAAAGACTTCATTAGCTTAAGTTGAAAAAAAAAAAAAAAGATAAACCAAGTGTGTTTCTTACCTGACTCTGGAAAAGAGGAAGGTGTTCAAAAGCTCACCTTTGTGAGGTGGGTAGCAGCATTTTCTCCCCGTTCCTGCCATCTTGTTCATGAGTCTTAGTTGTTTCTGTGTTGAGACATGGAATGTTTTCTTTCAGAATACAGAAACGTACCAATACATTGATGTTGCCAGCTATGGAACCTTACATGGAATAGCTTTGGGTCGGCTGAAAGGAATTGTCTGGAGACTTCAGGCACCATAGCCCATTTCTCCACTACAGTGCTATTTTTCCAGTGACAGTGCTGAGCCCTGATACGTGTTTGCCTGAAAAACAGGCTCACATACCTAGGTTTCCCATCTTCACTTGGCCTCTTGGTCCCTGTGTGATCTTGGGCAAATTCTTCATCACAAAAGTAATAATAGTAATAGTAATGTGATGATATGATAATATCACTTGTCTTGTGGAATTTCCGGGAAGATTCAGAAACTGTAGGGGTAGAAAATTGTTTCCTTCTAGGTCCCCCAAGTAATTAAGTTGACATAAGGCAAACTAATAGAAGAGACGCTAATGTAATTTCATACATAGGTGAACCCCATTAAAATACGATAGTCAAAGAAATGACCAAAGAAGGAAAGTTTCAGACAAAGAAACAGTAAATTTGTAGAGTTGACAAGACAAAGAGGCTTGGGCTTGGGGTAGTAAATTAATGAAGAGATACCAAGATTTGTTTAAACAATTTGTATAAACAAATCTTGGCCCTAAACTTCCTATGTCTGTGATAAGATACCTTTTGCCCTCCTGGTACAGGGAGGCTACCTTTAGAAAGTAGATTTAGTTCCTGCTTTCAAGGAGACAAAGGAGAGTCAGAGCATCCTTCCTGTACCAGCTATTTTCAAGTAATTTTAAATCAAACTGTATGCCAAAATCTCATATTTCGGGGTGACATATCCTGCTCCTTTCAAAAGCACATAATGTTCTTAGCACGATGCCTTGCATGCAGTAAACTATAAATGTTAGCTACAGCAGTTAATGATGCATGGTGCTGTTAATAATGTTACTTTAGTGTTACTATTTTGAAATAAAATTAAGTTCAAAATCTATGATATTTGTAAAGCATCCAACAAAATATCTGGGACACAGTAATTCTGATAAATATACACTATACAGCAGAAGATAGGGAAAAGCAGAGATAACATCTTACAGTTATTCTAAGCTTAGAATACAATTATAGTTACCATATCCTTCATAGGATGGTAGTAATTACATAAATAGTAGTAATAATGATACTAAGTACCTATTGTATATCAGAGATCAGAGTATTCTCAACATGTCATATATAGTAATTCATTGAATAGTGGCATGTGGTTGGGAATGGTGGTGTCGCCACTGTGCAAGAAAGACTACTGAGGCATGCAAACATTAAATATTCTCACTGAGGTCCATATGTTTAGCAAGGAAGGTTTAAAAATAGGGTTTTGGATACAGGTATCAAGAATAAGACTTTCAAGGTTGGAGACCTCAGCACAGATCATTTGGATCTCACAGTTGAGAATATGGGGTTTGGAAGGTATTGAGAAGAGGCCTGGATATGACCACTTGTACATCCACTCTCTGATTGTGGATCTAAAAAATCTAGAAGAGTCCAGCAGATAAAGCACCAAACAGATGGACCAGTCAGAGGCCAAGAGGAACTCAAATTTGTGTAGTTTGTTCTGTGGCTCCTAGGCTCTTAGGAGCCTAGAGTTTTCACAACTCTAGGGGCCATTCTCTCTTCATAGTTTCTGTAAAATGGTGTTTCCTGGAGTCCAAGAGAGTGGAGGTTCAGACAGTGATCAAGTTCACCATTAGTGCACCATAAGTGACTGTAGTTAGGAGGCAAGGGTAAGGACCAAGGAACAGTCTGATTGAGCTGTGTAATAATGTATCAAATCGGTTCCTACCCCAGAACTCTCACCTGGCAAAGTGAAAAACCCATACTCCCTTTGCAGGGTTCTACTAAATGGTCAAGCATGCCAATTGTTAACCTGAGAGGCTTAAGTTTCCTTCACCTTAGTGTGGTGACAGGATTTCAGTGAATGTATCAGAGGATACTTGATGAATCTGCAGTTTGTCCTCCCTTTTTTCTTTAGTGTGACTGTCAAGTCAAACTATGACAATATAATATCATTCAGGTCATCAGTTCACTCTCAGAATCATCACATCCTTCCTTCAAAGTCTTTGGGCAAGTTGAATTAATGACAGGGAAGCAGCCGAGCTTTTAAGCCACAGTGTGTCATTAAGCTGTAAGAGCAATTTAAGCGAAAGCATTTTTTTGTTAAATTCAGAACCTGCCTCTTGTTGCCGCTAAATGACTAATTCTTTCCCGAGGCATCAGAAATAAACTTTTTTAGAAGAACTAAATGCTAGCTGTGAAAGAAGCAAGTATTCTAAAGAACAAACAAACCTTAGAATGATGTCTCCGAGAAGATCTCCCAAGCCATCCTTTTCTGGCATCTCTGACATTAAATGATTTCAGGACAGCTGGCTATCTCTTCCAGAATGTTTCCAGTCTAACTTGTGTGGAAGATGGCAGCCCAGTTCACTTAAAAAAAAAAAAAATCCCTCAAAGCTAACTCCTCCTTTGATTCAACTTAATATCCCTAAAGCTTTAATTTAAGCCAGTTTCCTCTTATGTGGTCTTCTCTGGACATGGAGAAGAGCTGGTCGGCAGGGCCTTTAATCACCTTTTACTCCTCTTTTCTTTACCCTTTCTACACAGAAGGCTACCTCCATGCCTTTCATCCTCTTGCTCAGTCTTTCCATAGACTATCTCCTGAAGGTCTTTGCTGACTCCTCTCATGTAATATGCAGAAGCAACGTTTTCTAAGAAAATTAGAGATCTCTTATTTTGGGTACAGATTTGGGTAGTCTTATCAGGTGAGTATACATACATGAAGAAACTGAGGTGATTTTTCTTTACAACACTTCCTATTTTCATCTGAATGGGTCACAAGTGAACAGTAAACAGTCCAATTTTCATAATTTTTCTGCTTTTATTACCTTTCTCCCTTCACTATACATCCCAAAGGGACATCAGAAAGAAGAGGAAGAAAGGAAAATTCTAAATAGTAACCAATAGAGTTCTTATAGGAGAAGTTCCGGAGAATTGTAGAGAATTAGAATAACATGGGGATAATGGGCTACTTTTGCTTTTTGGCTGGTTGAGAGGTCATCTGGTTGTATGACCTTGATGAAAAATGAGAAAACGTTTACATGGTCCATTATCACTTCACACTTGCAGGAGAATTGGAGGAGAGATGGAATAAGAGGTGGTTTTATATACTTACATTATTTTTCTTGGACAAAATCACTATATAAATTCTTTGCTCTATTGTACAAAATAGGGACTTTCAGAATGGAAGGAGGTCATTTCCTGAGGAACACTGAGAAACACTGAAGGCAATTCTAGCCTGCCAGATGACCATCTGGAATCCAGCAGTAATTCTCTTTTTGCTTTGCACAATGGTGTTAGTTGTCGTTTGTTCCCCCCAGAGTCTAGAGCACCCCCTCACACCCAATTAGAAAGCATCCTTTTAACATTATCCCACTTTGTCATCTCTCCCACAGAATGCATTCTGATTTGATGTCCCAAGAGTCTAAAGGGCCAGAAAGAGTACATTCAGTTTCTCTCTTCTTCATTCTTTCTTCCCCTACCTCAATAGGAATTAGCAATATTTTAGTATCAAACTACCTTAATGGTCCATTTAGAACAAATCTCAGCCACCCAGTCCCTGCTCCATTTCTCTTCTTTAATAGAATGTGTTTTAAAAAGTGAGCAGAATGTTGAGTGACACATAACCCTTTTTGGTAATGAAAATATCATGCTGGAGTCCTGAGTTTTTTTCTTTGCTTCTCCATATTTGTTTGCACGCCGTCTTATGGAAAATGTTTTAATGTTAGCACTGACGACAGCATCTACTCTTGACTGAGGGCTAACTAGGTAATGAACATACATATTTTACTCATGTCAACAACCTTGTGATCTTTTACGGCACCAATATATCTATCCTACAGATGAAGACACTTGGGTTACAAAAAGCTGAAATAACCTCACTATGGTTACCCATCTGGTAAATGTTAATCTTGCGTAGTTTCACGTAGAAACCCTGCATTTAGCAACTCTGTGACTTAGCAGCTTTGCTGAACTGGTTCCCCAGTATGATAAAAGGTGCTTAGTAAGAATTAAATCACTAACAGCTATTGAGCTCATCTATGCCAGGAACTGTTTTAAGCCATCAGCGTATGTGGATGATCTCATTTAATGCTGTTACAACCCTGTGTGGGAAATGCTGCTCTAATCATCCCTATTTTACAGAGGAAGAGTTGAGGCTCCTAGAAGTTACACAACTTTGTTAGGGTCACATAATGGTTGAGTAATCAAGTTACAGTTCCCACTCAGACAGTCTGGCTTCAGGACCTACCAGTTTAACCATAACTCCATGTCCCTTCCCATGATATTTAGTGTCTTGCCAGGGAGACACTAAGGAAAGACTGGGGCACTTGTCTGAGACACAGACTGAAAGAGCTCTGTACAGTCCTCAAATGAAGCATTTTCCTGGCTGCTTGGCAAGGCAGAAACCACAGCAGGAAAAGCCCATCGGCAGTGATTCCCCTGGGCTGCTGGGTTCATCAGACTCGGCACCCGCCACTTCCTACCATTTTGTGTTGTCATCCCTCCTTGCTTTGGGCTACATCACTTTTCTGATCCATATTCTTTTTTTTTTTCCCTCTCCCCCACCCCCCATCTCTCCAGCTCGAGGCTTTTTATTCCATCTTCACCACGGAACAGCAAGACCACGTCAAGTCGGTGGAGTATCTGAGAAATAACTTTCGACCAAAGCAAAGGCTGAATGACAGGGTGGTGTCCAAGTCAGCTGTCCACGATGCCTGGAACCACGACATGTCAGACTTCTTAGAGAACCCACTGGGGACAGAAGCCTCTAAAGGTAGATTTGAATTAAGTGCCCTTGTCGCGAGGAAGATTCCTTATTGTAAATTACTTTAAATTAAAAGGAGTTGCAAAACTGCCACAAATTAAAACTTGGTGTTAAGAGCATATGTTTCTCTGCTAAGAGAGATTTGTGTGGATGATAAATAGAAGCAGATGTGAGAATAATTTCTGTTAAATAGATAAATTCAAAATTGTCCTCTTGACTAGTAATATTATCACTCATTCTCTGCATTCTATTTATAGCATCAATACTACCAGCTAGTATCTCAAACAATTCTTTTATATTGTTACCTTTTTATTGAGGTGACCTTGGGTTGCAGCCCTACATATGATTTAGGGGTAGAGATTGACACCTTCTCAGATGTGTGTTACCACTTCATGTCTTACTGTTTCCCTGTTGCAGTCAAGAGTTTGTTGCTGACTCAAATAAGAGCCTTTGATTTGTTTCCAGCACCCCAGAATGCAGCGGTTTCACTGACACCCATTCCAGAAAAGAACTCTACCCCATGAGACATCGCATAACCTTTTAAAATTATTGTTTAATAGTTTAATTCCCATGTTTGGTAAACATGAGTTTACAATCTTTTCCATTTCTATTTTGTCATATGAAATGAGTATGGGCGCCCCTCCCAGGAAACTGTAAAGTCTAATTCTACCCTCCAAGTCCAACAACATTCAAGCTCTGTGATTTCCCATAACTGTGGCTTAGAGATAAGGGAAATACTTAGAGGAATAAAACTGATCAAAGCCCTGAGGGAGGAAGAAATAAGAATAAATTTTCTTTGGATGTATAAAGATGGTCTTTATACAATGCTCTCCTTCGAAATTATGAATTTGGGTATTGTGGGAAGACTTTTGTCATTTATCCACACCAGCTGTACACTTCAGTATTTTAGTGATAAATTATTTGGGAGGTTTTGTTCTAAGAGCATTCCACACTGGCTAATAGGGCCAGTTTTCCAAAGGTATGTAACCTTTGTAGGGACGAAGGAATGAGATTATATTCCACAAATAACTGTTTCTGACATGTTCTGTGATGATATAAATGTGCCTGTTTTCCAGACTCATTTATCTGAAAGCAGTTAAACGAAAAAGGAGTCAAAAAGGAAGTTTAAGCATATGATCATTTCCTTCCTGTCTGTGTGATTTTGTTTGAGAAGGCTTTAGAGAAGCTAGTTTGGCAGGATTCCATAAAGAAACACAGGATTCTAATAATTCGGGGCTGACATTTTGTCAAGGGCATCATTTGTCAGCTGGGAACAATGGAAGGATTAAGAAGCTCACAAACCTGTAAAATGTCTTAGTTTGGGTTGGCCTCGAAAGCCTCAGTTGGGCTACTTTTTTTGGAAATAAGCTAAAAATAAAGCAAACAATGTAACTTGAAAGCTTTCCCTGGAGATACCATGATTGGGAAAAGGAGGTCCCTGAGGGATTGACTGTGAGAGGTGAATGCAGAGGAAGTGTGGGGGGTGAGGAATCTATGTCACCAGGTAGTGTAAGAGCTGGCACCTCCAATGGCTTAGTTATAAAGTTTTTTCCTAAAAGATGGGTTGAACACACATTAGGTCAACTGTTTAGAGAAGGCATGCATGGCCCTTGAGACCCAAGGAAGCTAGAGAAGATGGTTTCCTTTACATTAAGTTGTCCAAATGAGCAGCTGTCCCACTAAGTGGGCTTTCTCTGAATTTGAGCAGAGCCAAGAACCCATCCTTAAATAGGGGCTAACCATTCTTCCTTCCTGAAGTTTTATTTAAATCATATCCATTGCTGACTCTGAGGATGTGTGGATATAAAAATGCTTTAGGGTCTTTCTGGGGACAAAGAGGAGACATGCACGCAATCCTATTTGATTCTTTTTAAAGATTTATTTATGCATACACAACTGGGGTATAGGTCAGGGGTATGGTGGGGCAAGGGGTGGGTGGTGAGAGGGTGAGAGGATTCACCAGAACGGAGCAGACTAAGGAAGTACACTGCTGAGGAGAGCAGAGGGCGAGTCAGGAGAGGTCTGCCGCGCCATGTGGGTCACCACATTCAATATTTATCTTCTTCCTTATGTTTTTATTCCACTCAGCATAATCCCTTCCATTTCCATCCATATTTCCACAAAAGGCATGGGTTTATCTTTTTGATGGCCAATTAGTTTTCCATTGTATGTATCTATACCACGTGTCTTGTGTCACTGTACCTAAATTTCTTTATTCATTTTAACATTTGTGAAATGTGGAGTATGTCTATATTTTCCTGATTTTGAAAATTCATGAACATATACTTTTAATGAGTATATGAGCATATCTCTGTAAGGGATGCACCCAGGATAAACATGACCACATTATAGTGTACACTACATGTTCATATCTTGTGAGATACCTGCTAACCAATTTCCCAAGGTGATTAGAGGTACTTACTCTTCTGCCAGCAATGTATGAGTCCTATTTTGTTAAACCCTTTTTTAAATCATAGTTTAAATACCATCACATTCAGTTTTTAAAATACACAATTCAAATATTTTTTAATAAATTCATAGTTATGCAGACATCATCACAACCCAATTTTAGGGTATTGTCATTACTCCAGAAAGTTCCTTCATCTGATTTGCAGTCAGTTCTTTCTCCTTTTTCACTCAGGCTGTCTGTAGTCTGCTTTTAACTTTCACTTAACATTAGAACTTTAAGGTTTATCCACATTGTAACTCACTCCTTTTTATTGCTGAGTGGTATCTATTTGTTGTTGTTTTTGTTTCATTAATAAGAGCTTTGCTGAGATTTAATTCACAATCCATAAAATTCATTCTTTTCAAGTGTGCACTTCAGTGGCTTTTAGTATAGTTATCAACTTGTTCAATCCCCACTTGTATCTACTTCCAGAACATTTTTATCACTCCCCAAAAGTCATTTCATACCCACTAGAGGTCACTTACTCCCTGTTCCCCTTTCCTGTTTTAGCCTTCTCCCTCCTTTCTTCCCCGCCCTAGGCAGCATTAGTGAACTTTCTCTGTGGCTATTCCTTTTCTAAATATGTCACATAAATGAAATCATCCACTATACAGCTTCTGTCTTCTTTCAATTAGCATTTATTTGCATTGCATTCAATCATGTATCAGAATTTCATTCCATGTTAGGGTCACATTATTTATCACTGTATGGCTAGGACACATTTTGTTTCTCCATTGAATTGATAGACCTTTGAATATTTATCACTTTTTGCTGTTAAAGAATGCTGCTAGTTACATTCATGATCAGGTTTTAGTGGGAACATATGTTTTCAGTTCTTTTGGCTATAAACCTGGGAGTCCAGCTGCTGAGTCAGAGGTAAATTTATTTATAGGCTTGAGAAACTGCCAGACTATTTTCCAAAAACTAGCCACACGAGTTACATTTCCATCAGCAATATATTAGGGTTTTGGTTTCTCCCCATCCTCACCAACACATCCTTCATTTTAGTATCCCAGTGGATGTGAGTTAGTATCTCTTGGTAGTTTTGATCTTAATCTCCCTAAATGACTTTTGATTTCCCTATTTTGGTTTTAAATGCACATATCATGAAACCAGAGCAAACATGATAAATGTCCCTCTTTTTTTTTTTTTTAACCCAAGATAACCAGTAATTCCAAGGCACAACAGGCCAAAGGTCAGCAGAGATACTGGCACTCATCCGACAGCCAAGAGTGCCTTCGATTCTTGGCTTTAGACATCAAAGCAGTAAAGAATATATATAAAGGAAGAAAGGATCCTTGTTTTGTGTTTTGTTTTTTTCTTTTTTTTTTTTTCAGGGGTTTGCAAAAACAACTTTAAAAAGAGTATTATGGCATTCTATAATCTTCAGGTAATTCAAAAGGAATAAAGGCTATCTGATTGGCACTCTCTATCTGTTTTGGATCATTACTAGTAGCTTTCAGTGCCTAGGAGAGCTATGAAGTTGGGCATGGAGCTATGCATTTATGTGTTTTTCACTGAAGAAGGAAAAATTAATTACATAGACAGAAGTTAGTAGACTATATAAAAATCAGATATTGGGTCATCTGGTCTGTGGTGCGGCTATTCATCTTGAGTATGAAGGCAGCCATAGACATATAAATGCATAGAGTCAGAAAATGTCTGCCACTAAAACTTAACTTATAAAAGTAAGTGTCAGGGTAGAATTGGCCTGGAACCAGAGTTTACTGACCCTACTAAAGGAATACAACTCATGCTAAGGTGGAGAACCCTAATCCTAGGCAAATTTCAGGGTAACTATTTCTTCTTTCTCTCTCTCTCTCTCTTTTTTTTTTTTTTTTAAGATTTAAGTTTTCATATAGAACTGGGCCAGAGGCAGTGAGAGGATTCACCAGAGACAGACTAGAGAGTAGAACAGGCAGACTGATGAAGTACACTGCTGAGGTGAGGCAGGAGAGGTCTGCCAAGCCATGTGGATCACCTCCAGCCAGGAATCAAACCCACACTGAAGTGGCTGCGGCTCGCTTGCAGTGCTGTGCTTAACCCACTGCACCACCAGGGAGGGCCAATATTTGTTTAAAATGGCAATGATCATGACTGAAATTCCAATGGTTGACCCTACTATAAGAACCTAGGGTCAACTAAAGATTTATTTACTTGGTAACCAATCACTTACCACTTCACCTGAATACTTGGTCATCTTTCAGATGTAAGCAGATGCTCAGTGAACTGAGCAGAGCACACTAGCTCCTCATTCCCCCAGCTCTGGTCAATAACTGGTGTCCATTGAGCAACACAGGGTGGAATACCTGAGTGAAAACACCCTCATCCTACACTCTGTCAGGGTGACTGGGCATACTGGAATCGAGGAAATACAATCCAGCCTGTCAGTGCCAAGCACTAGATGAATGACCATGTAAAACGCCAAAGGAAAGGGGGGAAATGTCATCTTAATATTGTATTGTTGTCGAGGAAGACATAATGGATGTCATCCATGAAAAATATAAAGCTTCAGTTCCAGTAAATGGAAATAACATTTAGATGGGTGGATTGTTCAAGG